CATTTAAAATAATAGACATGTTCCTAAGTCAAAAAGAGGGTAATAGAGAGAGTCTATACACTGAAAACAACCAAATTTCCAGGTTTAAATTAAGGAAGGTGATATATTATTTAAATATATATCCAAGTTTTGGAACTGAGAATATATTGTAGATTCTGATTCGTATATTTCATTGATATCTTATGTGATGTACTTGTATTTATATACATTGTATATTTATATATTTATGTTATTGGAATACATTGTTATATTATATCCTTTTTTGGAACATTTTGGTGAGATATGTCTTCGCTGTTTATCAAACGATTTCTTCTCTATTGTGACTATTCTATATTACGTAATCAGGTGATTATCACATGACTAATTGCTGCTTAAAAGGACCCTAAGTGTGTTTGCTATCCACACCATGATGAAGGCTGCATCGTTGTGCGGGTATTTGGAAACTGTTTTTAATTACCTAAAGCCATAATGAACAAAATACTTTTTTCTACTTGAACTCTCAAATGCCTTTGATACGTTTTTATGAGTCTCATTTTCTCTACAAGAACACAGTGATTTTTACACCCTATCCAGCGCTTTTTGCACTATTGTACTTGATAGACCAACAGCAAAAGAGTAAAAGCAAAAGAGTTCATTCGTTCTAATTCTGGTGTTAATCTAAAGAATGCAGATGTTTGAGGCCAGAAGATTTGTCAATGATTCTCTATAATGTCTAGCCCAGTAAAGAGCACAGCTTGCCAGGATGATAAACACAATCGTTGACTCACCACTCAAGCCATTACCTTGTGAAAAAGTGCCATCTCACCAATCGAATCCAAATGTCTTATGGCGCTTGCAAATGGATCCTTTGAAGAATAATGTGTGAAAGAGGCAGGTGGTGAATAAAAAATAGAGATGATGCCATTAAGCCACAAATAATCTTGAAACTGTCAGTGGATGGTGAAAGAAATGAAGTGCTCTTGTTGGTTTATAGTTCAAGGTCACTAGCCTGGGAAATTAGACCATCTTCATAAGAGATGAAACCTGAGCACTCAAGACTTATTAAACAATTGATGCATTTTAATATCCCATGACCCTTTTGACTGCTGACGATTGTGCTGCTCTAGAGTACTGGGTTAAATTAATGATACTCATACACGGCTTGACATATGATTAGGTTCTTGACATTGTGTAGTAAAGATGCATGACAATTTTTTTCTTATTTGTTGAGGGACAATTTTGCACACAGTAAACACAGACCTCAGTCATTGGTCTGGTCTGTGGCTTGGACTATGGATACCTGTATTCACCCGCGATGTTTACCTTCTCTGATTTCTCCAAGTTCCATTCCTTGTTTCCTCGTCTGTTCTCCATCTCCCGCTATCCTAAGACAAAGACATTATCAATCTAACGGCAACCAGAAGATGGAAACCCGAATAAGTTGGCAAAACTCAAAAATATTTAGGTAATCCGTTTAAGTTGAGAAATTTAAAGTTTAAGTACAAGCATAACTTACAGATTTTTATTTTGCACTCATGTATTTTAATTGCACTTTACTTGAAATATTTGAATAAACTTAAAATTATCATGCAATCTCAATTTACTAATATTTTTAGTAGAAGAAACTTGGCTAGCTTTAACTAGCTAATTCAACAAATACTACCTTGCTTATTGGTATCACAATGCTTTTAACATATGAAGAGTTCAGATGCAAAAGCCTCTAAGTGCCATTTGAAAATTTCTTCTAGAATGATCATTTTTATCAAGCTTGTATATTTAAGTTCAGTGACTTCACTTAAATGGCAATGATAATTGCCGATTACAGTAATTGTTATTTAAGGGAAATTACTGAACTTAAATATACAAGTTTGACAAAAATCATCATTAAAGAAGAAAATTTCAAATGGCATTTAGAGGCTTTTGCATCTGAACTCGTCATATCTGTTCTCAAACTGAGCTCTCCACTCGTCACCATGATTTTAATCCAACAAAAAAACAGCATAAAAGAAACTCTTCTAAAATAACATAGCAAATCAGTAAACACTACTAAATCTCCACTAATATTGCACCAAAAGCATTATAGTATAACTTCATTTTGGGATTCGCTCTCCCTTTTGAGTGACATGGCAAAGCATGCTGGGAAATAGAAATCCCAGCCCAGTTTGAGTTAAATTTCAGTTTGTCTAAATTAAAAGAAACAAGTTCATGAAGCTCAAAACAATTCCGATTACTTAAAATGTGTCATTTATTTGTGAATGCAAAAGAAAAAGAAAGTTCAAAATACTCAAAAAAGTTCATTTGAATGAACTAATTTGTTTAATTTGACTTGGCTTTACTCAAACCAATTGCTTAATTTCAATGGTGGGTTTACATACTGCCCAATTGAAGTAAAATCCTTTTTCAAAGACTGGAATACTTGTACTGCACATTGTGTGTTGTCTATACCCTATTTGTTTTGGACACTGTTCAATAAAAGCTTTGAGGTGTTAATCATCCATCTCTCTCTCTCTCTCTCTCTCTCTCTCTCTCTCTCTCTCTCTCTCTCTCTCTCTCTCTCTCTCTCTCTCTCTCTCTCTCTCTTGAGTCTGATATCTCATTGCCAAAGTGATTGAGAAAAACTGTATTAAGTAATGCATTCAATTGTTGAGCCTGCTTCTTTAAAAAAATATATTTTTAAGATCTCATTCCGTCATGTTGCATGTACTGGTAAATGCTGCAAACAAAAAATGGATAAATTGCAGGAAAATTCAAAACATCAGTTAAATATGAAATTTGCATAATAATTTACATTTAGCATACCATTTAGGCAGGGAAAGAAGTGATAAAAACACTGTTTGTCAAGGATGACACTTTAGCAGATAGCAAACGATCATCACTGCCACCATTAAATGCAATGAGCTTATTGAGTGGAAGATAAACTACCCACTGCTGTGCATTTAGATCAGGCATTGCTTTATGACGTATAGGGAAAGTAATAAATATGGGCAAAATCAATTTGTTCCATCAGATGTGATGGAGATGAATCTGTTTGCAAGACAGTGACGCTCAAATCACATCATGTGCCTTCCCTTACTCAAGAAATGGTCTGATATAATGAACAAATCATTATCAGTTCTCAAATTAGTCATGTTGTAGGCTGAAGCTGACATGTCAGTGATGTGAAGAAGTGAAAAACACTTTGACAGCAGGCCTGTTATGTAAGTCTGTTCATCACTGCTTGGTACTGTAGATTGGAACACAATGTGTTGTAGTTTTGAGGTGTGTGAAGAAATGAAGAGAAGGCTTTTTTTGTTCATAAAGCAAATATTTGTTCATTTTATCATCCATTCAAAGTATCATCTATGTAATACAGTAATAGGCATAAAAACACAATAGAAACAAATTTCTTTAAGAAAACATTGTAAGGTGGCCTCGAGTGGCTTATTGCTTTTATAAATGGTGGCAACAGCAATAAGATAAGACACAAATGTTGAAAAGATAATTACATTAATTCATAATGAACGATTCTTCTGCCAAGTAAAGCTCATTAGCCTCTACATGTGGCTGTTTATAGCAACAGCTTTGAACATGACTAACGCAATCAGATATTAGACGGAAATAAGAATTTTATAATGTTTTAACATTATAAATGTGCTGCAAATATCATACTTGCAAAATCAAAAAGTGACAAGCATTTGATTGAACTGATTTGATATGTAATATATACCAATTCTGTCATTTATATGGTCTGTTAACTGACAAAGCATTAAGTAAATAGCTTTCAGTGTGTCAATCTGAAAACATTGGTAACGCTTCCTTTTACAGTCCAGTTACCCATGTAAATACTATGTACTTAATTTAGTAACTATAATTACTGTGTAATAACTAGTACTAACCCTGAACCTACCCCTAAACCTACCCCTGTTCCATGTACTTACCTTATATTAGCCAGTACTTTTTAGGTAAGTACACAAGTACACTGTAATACTGTACTGTAAAAGGAAGCGTTACCAAAACATTTTAGTCAAGATTGGTACATGATGTCTGGATTGGAATATGTTCATGACTGAAAATACATCTTCATGGTCTTGTTTAAACATCTCTAGATTTGGTTGGTGTCAGATGTGAGAAAAAGAAAGTGAGAGAGATTTTTGTGTGTGTTCCCATTATTCTTGGTGATGGCTATTTGCTTTTAAAGGTGTAAAACAGCATCACACACCAAAAACGTTAGGTAAATAAGGGCTTTTCATTTACATTTATTGTTTTTATAAACAATACTACTTATACTTGTTATATAATAACCCTTATCCACAAATAATATTTGGGCATATTTAGAATTATAAAAACATTTTATTTCACATCTAATATTTAGATAGTCAGACGTGACATTGCTGACAGACACAGTTACAGTAAGCTGACGTACAGTTAAGTTGCACTTCTCTAATATGAATATTTATACTTTAAAATATGAATCTACATATCACATCTTAGACAATAGCATGTGACTTTTACATGCTATTATAAATGCATTTTAAGGTATGCATAAGGCATAGCCTATATGTAATACACTCTAAACAATGCTGGGTTGTTTTAACCCAAATTTGGGTCAAATATGGACAAACCCAAATGTTGGGTTATAAATGTAATTTACAATTTTAATTCAACTTTGACTTTCAAGTGTACATTTTTTAAATTACATTTTTGGGTTTGTCCATATTTGACCCAAATTTGGGTTGAAACAACATTGATAGATAGATAGATAGATAGATAGATAGATAGATAGATAGATAGATAGATAGATAGATAGATAGATAGATAGATAGATAGATAGATAGATAGATAGATAGATAGATAGATAGATAGATAGATTGATAGATAGATAGATAGATAGATAGATAGATAGATAGATAGATAGATAGATAGATAGATAGATAGATAGATAGATAGATAGATAGATAGATAGATAGATAAGCTGCACTTCTATTTATGAAATTTATTATTAAAATATCAATCTACATATTACATCTCAGCATGTGGTTTTGCATTATGGTAGATAAATGGATGGCCCAAAGACACAAGCTGCACTTCTCTAATACATGTAATTTATACGAATCTTCCTATTATACATCTAGACAACAGCATCTGATTTTTTAATGTATGCATAAGAGATATATTTTTCTATCCGTGAATCATTGGTCTTTTATCATATTCCTGAGGGGTGGGGGGCGTTATGGAGATCCTCAATAAGCGGATGGTCAGATGAAATGGCACACAGAGGAAACATGAACTCCTCGAGCATTTACAGCACACTCGGACGCTTGTTCCCTAACAACTTTTCTCTTTGGGGGCATCTCCAGAAGAACTGGACTAGCCATGATTTGACACCTTTCTCCATCGACTTTCTGTTTGCGGGCCATGAACCGGACACTATAGTTTTAATGGTGATGTATGTGCTATCATTCGTGACTGGACTGGTGGGGAATATATTGGCGCTGTGGGTCCTAACGCGCCGGAGGAATCGCTTGTCTGGAGCGTCAGCCACCAGGAGACTCCTGGTCAACCTGGCGGTGTGCGACATGATGGTGGTGTGCGTCTGCATGCCGGTTAATTTAGGACTTCAGGTGTACAACGCCTGGGTGTTTGGAGAGTTTCTGTGTCGAGCTGTGCCGTTCGTTCAAGCGGTATCAGTCTCTGCCAGTGTTCTGAGTCTGGCTGCGATCAGTTTGAACAGATACTACAGCGTCCACAGCCCCCTGCACGCCAGATCGTTCTTTACGACCAGCAGAATTATATGCATGATAGCTGTGGTGTGGATCGTATCTTCTGCACTATGTTTGCCGTTGTTTTTCATGAATACGACGAAGACGCTTTCCCTAATAGACGGACTGCATACAGTGACTGTGTGCGTAGAGAGCTGGTCTAAAATCAAACTGCGCCAGGGTTACAACTTTTTGCTCTTCTGCGCGTTGTATGGATTCCCGGTGGTCTTTAACCTGGTCATTTGCTTTTTGACCGGTTGGAAATTGAGTAGAGGAGGCACATCATCAACATCAGATCCAAACCAGCTAGCGCAAACCTCTTCAAGATCGCGCCTTAAGACGCGCAAGAGGATCACCAAAATGGTCTTTGCGCTCGTGTTGCTGTTCACTTTCTCCTGGCTGCCGCTTTATGCCGTGGACATCTGGATCGACTCCAACATTCCCAGCTCTCCTGATCGAAACGACGAGTTGAGCAACGTTGAACATCATTGGATACTCCAGAGCAGACCCTTTGCGCAATGGCTGGGTCTCACCAACTCATCCCTCAATCCTCTTTGCTACTGCTTCATCGGAAACTTGTACAGATCGGCCAAAAGGTTCAGAGAGAGCTACAGAGAGAAGATTTCATCTGTCATGAGTTTGACCAATAGGTCTTCAATTAGAAATTCTGCCTCTAAAATCCAGCAGCGCAACTCTGGCTCGTCTGCGAGATTTTCGTCAGAAACAAGAAGCTACACTGTTTTCAGACTGACCAGAAGTAAAAGCGTGTCTGCAACGACTGTGTGTGAGAGTATTTAACTGAAAATGTAATGAGACAGACTTGAAACAATCATGGGAATATGAAAAGGGTGACAGTTATTGGTAACTGTTTCAGTTACTATTAGTTATTATTCAATGTTATTGTGAATTATGTTATCTATCATGGCTATTTTGTCGTTTTATTTTGTAAGTATTTTCTGTTAAATAAACGAATAGATTCTTCTGAAAACAGTCGATATGAGTGGAAAATTGCAAACCCAGAATGTGAGGCTCAAGCCAGGATTAATGGCACCGCTGAGGGGCTTTAGCCCTGACGTGTGGTTGTCTGTTATTCCACCAGCTCCTCCTCACCAGAAATCACATAAATATTCCTACTGTTATACATTTTGATCACTGCACTACATTTACAGTCTTAAGATACAAGAAATTTAGCTTTATAGCTCCGGTGGGCAGAACAGTCTAACACTCTTAAAAATAAAGGTTCTTCACTGGCATCTATTGTAGATCGATGGCGTCATTCCACTTCACCATGCGTTTTTTCCCAGAACATTCTCAGAACTTTGGCACTTTTTCAGTAACATTAATGGAACGTTCGTTCAAAGTTATGTAGTGTTTAATAATGTTCTCAAAAGCACAAAAACGTTATGTTTTTCAAAAGTAACATTCCCATGCAATGTCTGCAGAATGATGTGACGTTTCATTGTATAATTCTTTTTCAAACATTTAGAAAACGTTCAGAGAACAATGTTTTCATAACGTAATGGGAACCTCAGCAAAACTTAGAATTTTTTTTAAATATATATTTTTGTTATTGAGTTGTAATTAAAAATATTCTTTAAAATATTCTAAAATATACTAAAAACATTTTTTTATAGGAACTGCTCACTGAAAGGTTATTTGGGGAACCAAAAATAATTCTTGGTATTGCTGAAAAGCCCCTTTTGGAACCTTTATCAATGACAAATTAGAAATCTAAAATGAACCATAATGATGTTGTTTCGGTGTTTGCCATCACATAAGCTAAACTTTGAGAGAAACAATTAATCTGTCGGAGAGTAATGGATTTAGGTAATACCCTCTTCCATAGTACACTAATATACTGATGATAATTTGTTGCCACTAAGATGGAGCACAGACAGTGAATAATAACCCATCATTTTGACCGTGCAATTTAATCAATTTAGCATTATTCAGGCATTTTAAGATTATCCTCAAGCGCAACAGATTTTCTGTGCATGATCTGTGATCTTGTGTGCAAGCATGCTGCTATATTCAGAAATTATAATTAAGACAGCTTTGCGTCATTAACTGAAAACTGACTGTGCATAATTTGCCTAAATGAATCCAGGCAAGATACATCAATAGATCAGAACATATGAGTGCTGACTGTTGTAAATGTGACATAAGCATCACTTTAGGTCCTGATGCTCTTTTATAGCCGAATAAGCAATGCACTACATTCAACTCATTTTATTGTTTTCGAGGCAAAACTTAGCATTTAATTTTCAATTAAACAGTAAAACAATGGTGTTTCCAGGATAACACTGGGCCTTTTAAGCTTAAAATACACATACATCAACAATATGAGAAATATAATAGTCTCTCTTGATATCTCTGCCTTGCAAAATAGAATAATTATGTTTAAATGTAAAAACATTGCATTTGAATCATGTGTTGTTTCATGCTTGTAAAGCAATTTAAATCTTCCTGTTTGAAGCACAGCAAGAAAAAAAAAAACGATCTGTTTTTTACAAATATTACGGCTTTTTTCTCTTACACGAGTGCTGAATTGCCCTGAATCATTATCATTTTTTATACTTTTCATCGTTTGTGGGCGGTGAAAATTGAGGGACTAAGACCATTTTGCTCTAAAAGATCTCAAGAGTGTCCCATGATTGCATTTATTTAAACTGAATGTCTAGCACAAATGGGCTCCCATCAGTCATTCAAAATAAATGAGTGCTATAATGGATGTAGTGCTTCTGTTAATAACCTCAGAGAGCTTTATGCTGTCAACAATTCAGCCCTGTTTCAAAGCATAAGAAACGTCTGTCATGCAGCTTAATAATTCACACCTCATGACCCATATAACAAAGCCCATGGATAACAATCTGTCCTCAAAGTAATGTACATGTAAAGTATCAATTTGACCTTTTCATTACATCCTTTCAGTACTGTGAATGTGGAATGGATTGTGTTTAGGTGCTTAGTAGGCTTCCTTCAAAACCTACAATCATAGACTAGATTATTGCAACCAGTCCCATTTGAAGAAAATATCCAAGGAAGCAGAGTTATGTAAATGTAATTAGTTACTGTACATAAGTATCTTTTTGGCTACTTTATAGTTTGAGTATAAAACTTAATCACATTTACTCTACATTTTTGTACAACTATACTTTTTACTCCAATACATTTGTGAATTGTGATATAGGCTATAATGCAATAGAGTGCCGAAGTGAGTTAGCAAAAACAAAGGCATCAATTAGGTGACGCCTTGGGGGTGAGAATGGGCTGTTTTGTGTTGTCAATGATGATGATGTAGCCTAAATGAAATGCTATTGGCAATTTTGAAAAAACGGTGTAGCTGTTTGATATATCCTGTCTTGTCTTCCGTTCCAAGGCACTTCAGTGGGACTTTAATACTGCTATATTCTGATATTCTAAGACTTTTACTGAAGCAGTATTGACATTTTCACTGTAAGGTATCTGTACTTTTTCTCAAGTATGGTTTTCAGGTATAGGCTACTATTCAGTGTGGTTGTTCATTACTTCTGAGGATGGAAGAGACACTTGTTAGCACACTCAATAAATTATAGTTTGCTTCCTCATTGCTCCCTCACTTTTGCAGTCACACACTCTCATCTTGACATCTAAAGCTATCCATCTGGAAAACAAGAAATGGGCTTCCTACCTCGTATCTCTTAAGACCGGCTGCTGAGTTTAATTTAATGTGTCACTCCACCCAATGGGTTCTTTGACACTACTGACCCTTATTACTTCTTCTGTCATTTAAGAATAGCAACTGACCATCTGAAGGCCAACTTTTATAGGTATTAATATGCAGTATGGATTCCCAAACCTTTTGTCAGCTGAAATATGTAAAATTACTTTAAAGTAGGCCTATCCCCTAAAATTTTAAGTTAATATTCAAATTACTTTAACAACACATTTGCATATTCAAGGATCTCTGATGTTGGTTGAAAGTAAAATGGGATAAATAGATAAAATATATAAATTTATAATTATATTATTTCACTTTGTAGCTGGACTTTAAAGTAGACCCAAACCTTTTTATTATAGTGTCTCAATCCAGTTTCTTCATGAACATCAATTTAAGAAATCCTTAATAAGGGTATAACAACACTAAAGAAAACAACATTAGGAGGAGATACCGAAGGTCAATAATGACAAAAACATTTTTTGTGAAGAGAAATAAGCAGCCCTTAGAAACCCAACAACAATGGGCTTTTCCCCTAAATAATATAACCACTTTCCCATATTTACCTGAATCATGAATTGTTGATTTAATGACTTTAAACAAGTCTTGCATCTTCAAATATCCATGACATTTTCTGTGATTCTCATTAGCTAAAAAATAATAATAATTGTTGAAGTCCCCTTGTGGAGAAAATCAAGCTTTAAATGTTGTTTCTATGAGCTGTTTTTAATATTCTTTAAGACAAACCATGTGCAAATTCAGACAGCACCATTGCTGAGTATTTTCTCTTCAAAACGCGGTTTGAAATCTCTGGTGTTTCTGACGTCATAAACTACCTCGTAACCAATCACGTCACTGCTGGCGGGCTTTAACGGCAAGCAGAGGATGCGTGAGAAGCCAAGTTGTCCCAGTATATTTTTCTGTTAATATAAAAAAGAACATGGTTTGCGTAACATTAGTAACACATTATTAGCTGTTTGATGACAGTCAAGCAAAAGGCTAATCATAATAATTACCGTTATGAGTCCGACAAGCGTTATACCATTATGCAGCGTTTATCTTGGCAGAGTGAATCTGTGAGCTGGAGTGATTGAGTGAGTGGAGGCGGGGCTAATTAGAATATTTATGGATAATGGAGCAAGGGTGTAGATTTACATACAAGCTATTTTAATGGATGGAAAAAAAAAACACTGGGGAAAAAAAACGTTTAAATATGTTTATGATCAAATTCAGGCTAAAATGATTGACTTTAACTTTTTATTTTATTGCATGCAGTGACTTCATGGATCTAGTTAGTTTAATTGTTATACAGAGTAGACAGGTGTTTAGAAAATGTTGTGATTTGTTTGTTCCAATACCACAGCTATACAGAATGCAAATGGCTCTATCCCCTAACAAACTTTTCCCAATGTTAAAAGTCACATTTCCTCTATTCTATTATCTATCCTCTTGATCTTTCTAGGATAATTGCATAGCTTTATTACAACAATCATAATTGGAAATGGTATCTAATCATGATAATTAAGAGTATAGTCAAAATAGAGGTTCATAGTTTAATAATTTAACCCGAGAGCTGTAATCAACCATAACTGAGTTGGAATAATTTGCAAAGAGCTGCACAGAAGCAGGAGAATGAGGTTTATGACACAAAGGAGTAGATTTGCATATTAATGCGAATTTAATAATATAAATCAGGCAAAACTTACATAATTGAGCATCATTATTTTCTGCAATGTTTATTCAGTTTTACAGTGATTATGTTAATTTGCATTTTCCTGCTGCATCTTACAAGTTGGCTTTTTGTTTGACCTGAATACTTCACTTTATTTTATACTTCACAAATTCACAAAGTTTTCTGTATATTTGCCAAGAAATTAATTCCCAGAAAGATACCGAGCTCTATTCCCACTGAAATGCTTTTAAATACAAATGAATGATTCCTTCGTCAGTGCAATCATTTCATCTGTGCACTAATTTTAGAACAGACATGAACAAATAGGGGTTTATTGTGTCAGGTCATTTAAAGAACCAGCACAATAAAACATTCATTGCCTCGTCTCAGAAGTGAGAAGCTGATATGAAACCGTATATATTTCAAGTCTGAAAATGAATGACTCAGACTCCTCAATGAAGCAGAAATAGATGAATGTTATACAGTGCTGCAAATGCTGAAGTCCTAGTCCGGTGTTGGAGACATTTGAATGTGTAATGTTGTTTCTCTGCAGCATGCTATATTGCTTATATTTGGCACTCTGGATTTACAATCAATGCAGAGGGGTAAAGATTAGTGAGTTATTCATGGAGGCACGTTTCATTTTGTTGGCTTGCAAATGAACAATTCTTAAGATGAAATTTTACGATTATTTTTTTTAAACAGATGGCAAACTTCTTGTTTTGAACTCTCATTAAGCATTTCATAAGATACAGAAGCAATTTCAGCGGTCAATCTGTTTGCGTCTGCCTGAAATGCATGATAGCATAAAAATAGTATATGGAATAACTTTCAAAGTCTACCTCCAAACTTGTAATGATTGCATGATTGCCATTAAAAGCAAATGTATTGTTTAAATATAGATTAAATTTATATTTTAGTTCTGTATATGTAATTTATAATCACTTGTATTGTCTTTGAAATATGATTACTGCCAACTGACAAATTTTTATTTATTTAACTGTACTTTGTAGAATGCAATCATGCATGTAAATGTTATTTAATTGCACATTTGTAATGATGAAATTGCAATTTAGTACATTTAAAATATTACCATTAAATGTAATATCAAATAACATACAGTTAAATTATCTTCACATGTGCTTTAGTATAATAAAAACATCAAAATAAGTGCACTTAAAAGTCTACTTAAAGGGATACTTCACCTCTGGAACGATGAATGTGTATATAAAATGGGTCATTTATGCAGAAGAAATGTGAAATTATTTTCGAATTTGGAGCTTTGACTGAGAAAAGCCAGAAAATGTAAACATTTATTTTTGGCCTATGTGGATGAAACACAACAACTCCCAGAATGCACTAGGAGGCCACACCTACCGGTAACAGTGCAGTAGTTAAACAACAAGTCTAGGCTACTAGTGAGTCTCCGTGATGAGTCTGCACAAAAATGTGTGTCGAGATCACCCAGAATGTCCGGGATTTGGCTTTTGCGCTCTACAGTCGCCATTCATTAGTTTACTGTACTGAGCAGGACGAGTGAGGTCCACGGGAGAACAGGACGAGTGAGCGACACCTGTGAGACGCACCGGTCTCGTGTCTCTCACGGAGGAGCGGGAATTTTATTAGCAATGTTAAAACGCACATCAACCGATCACTTGTTTAGCGTTCATGTAAACACTACATTCGGATTCACCAATCGAAATTAATTCAGTTAGATTGAAACAAAAGGTGTGCATGTAAACAATGAATGGCGACTGCAGAAAGCAAAAGCTGAATGTCCGGGATAAAGAGGATGGTAACTCCTACTACTAAGCTTTCTCCACAGAACAAGAGCCTCCCAGTTTAGCTTCCAAAAAAAAAAAAAAAAGATGGCTGACACTATGTGTATATTCTGTGAGTGAGATCCCAGCCTCTATGGGCGGGTTGGGAACATGCGGGACAGCCCATACTTCTGACTGTAGTCTTTAGCCTCTGGCCAAAAAATCCTCCGATGACGCAAAATGACAATTTTTTTTGCGTCACTGGAGGATTTTTTTTCCAAACAAAAAATACATTTCTTGCCTCAGGGGGATATGAGGGTGGAAAGCATGGTAATTCGAAGTAATTTCATTGCAGTACCAGTTTTGGCCACAATCTTTTTTTTTTAAATGAACGAATCTTTTCCCGAGTCAACTCGTTCATTTCGTTCGTTGAATGAACAAAATGACACGAAAAAAGATTTGTTCATTTTGATAAACGAGTTTGATAGACGGAGAATCACGAACGCGCATCACAGAACAGAGCAAGCCGACCATTTGAGCTTATAAAACAATACTTTGTTTTTTTTTAAAATGAGCGTTGTTTTGCTTGATAAGACCCTTATTCAAAATTGTTTAAAGCCCTTTGAATAGTTTGCAGTTTGCACTGAAACTATCTTTTGGACCTTGAACCATTTGGTTCCCATTGAAGTCCAGGAATGTTTTCATCAAAAACCTTAATTTCTTTTCGACTGAAGAAAGAAGTTTAACTGACAATCAGTGCTTTTACTTTATTTTCTTTACTCAAAAACATCTTACCCTCCTTCATCTCTTCTCCGATGAAGTGATACTTGTGCAAGGGCAGAACAATCTGTCACTCACATTAGACTGACCAATAGCAAACCACAGCGATCCAAGTCCCGGCCTAAAATTGTTTCTTGTTTGTGAAGCAGTTTCACTACCGTTCAAGTATCCCTATCACAATAGGGAAGAAAAGATTTCATGCCAACTTGAACATTTTATTACCTGCAAGTACAGTCTTCTAAAAATAAAGTTTCAAAATTTGAAATAGTAGTCAATTATAACATAGTAAAGTATAATACTATAATAGTATAGTAATCTTGCTATGTGCATAGACTAACTGAGACTTGTAACAGCTACTGTTGCTCTCTTGTTGGTCTGATTGCTTCTATTGCTCTCCTCTCCTCATTTGTAATTCGCTTTGGATAAAAGCGTCTTCTAAATGATTAAATGTAAATGTAGTCAAAAGTAGTGCGATTGAAATTTAAAAGTAATGCTTGCTGGACTGGTAACAGCAATTAAGATAGACTTCATTGAAATGTTACCTTAAAATCATGTGATTGCATATTGCATTTAGAAGAGGCAATGGAAGCCTTCACTTTCTCTGGTTTATTTCCTAAATCCTCAAGGCTGCAGTTTTTGAAAGTCTTTGCCCATCTGTGGAGAATGCAATGATATTTTAATCCTGCTGTCTGGCACACATGGTGTAGGCCAAAAAACTGGGAAAAAAATCCCAAAACTCTAGTCTCCATAACACAATGACAAGCAAATCGGGAACTATCCTGTAATATATCATCTCACTGACTACTGTTTGTGCAATTGTCACAATCTGAGGAAGGTGAGTGATGTTGATTGAATAATTTATTTTTCTATTATTTTATTATTATTATTATTATTTTTTTATTTACCTGGGTTGCCTATACCGGAGTAGTAGATACTTACAAACCCATACTTCTTACAAAGCCATACTTCCTTGTCACCACCGCACACTTACAGTACTGCCAAGGGCTCCCTTAATTCTAGGAGCCCTGTTTCTTAAAAAAATATATTACTCTAAATTACTTTGAGTGACAAGGAGTTTTAGACTGCAAGTATCATGTCATTTCTGAAACAAAGATGCAAAAACAATTCATGTAATGCAATATCAAGTTAAACATGTTCTGAGCATTTTAAATCTTTTATTTTTATTTTTAATTTAAATATAAGCCGTCTATATTGGA